TCTACACACCTTCATCCACCTACTTACCCCCAAACCCAAATCTTGTCGCTAAGGAGGCAACGGTCAAAACCTAATCAGGAGTTTACCATGAAAGAGTTATAACGACAGTTCCATCGAGTGCTATAATGGTTCAATGACATAGAAGAAAAGATTCATGGAGAGGTCACCGACGAGCGTGGTAGTGAGATCCGACGAGAGAGAGGAACATCTGAATCCCTTAGGTAGGGAAGATTCCAGTGGAGAAGAAGACATGCCACGACGCTTTGGGATACAATATTAGAGAAGGTCAAGAGGTGAAAGGCCTATTAAAGAATACAAAAATGAAGTACCTATTAGAGGATACAAAGATTTGAGTGCCTCTTGGGGTATATAAGATATAGAAACTAGGAAGTGAAAGTAGACATACTAGATTTCGAGAGAATGATGAATCTAGATGACTTCAGAGAGTGGTAGCAAACCGTCGAGAGGGTCTTTGAATACAAGGTACTATCAGGGAGCATCGGCAAAGAGTTGTCCAAGAGGTAAACTCCGAAATCAGGCCAACTCTAATACAAGAGCTAAGGCTATTTAAAAGAAATTCAGTTTGATATTTGTTTTGATTCAATCTTTCTTGTCATATCCAAACTTTAACAGTCGATTTTGGTGAGGAACTTACTAGTTTGCCGTTCCTATTCCACTTGATCTTCCAACAAAATATGCACAATGATTATTTACATGCTCATACTCCAATATTCAAAGAGAATCATTTCTCCTGGCCATCATCAGCTTAAAAAATAGATGCCATGATGTGGGGTTGGCCGCATGCAGCCCGATGGGCTGGACGATATAGAGCGCCGGTCCAGCCTTCCCTCTGAACCAGACCAACCAATGTATTAAAACGCATCCTCTTCCTCCTAGAGAATACAAAAATGAAGTACCTATTAGAGGATGCAGAGATAGAGTGCCCGTTAGGGGATATAGAGACTGAGAAGAGAAAATGAACATACCAGATTTCGAGGGGAGGATGAATCAAGACAACTTCATATAGTGGTGGTAGACCGTCGAGCGGGTCTTTGAATACAAGGTGCTATCAAGGAGCAAGGGTAAGAGGCTAGCCAATGGGTAAACTCAGGAATCAGACCGACTCTTAAAAGAGCTAAGGCTCTTAAAAAGAAATTTAGTTTGATATTTGTTGATTTAATCTTTCTAGTCATATCCAAACTTTAACAACCGATTTTGGTGAAAGAACCTACTGATTTGCCCTTCCAATTCAACTCAATCTTCCAACAAGATATGCACAATGATAATTTACATGCTCATACTCCAATATTCAAAGAGAATCATTCTCCCGGTCATCATCAGCTTAAACAACAGATGCCATAATGCGGGGTTGGCTGCTTGCAGCCTGATGGGTAGGATGAAACAAGGCGTCAGTCAAGCCTTCCTATTTGTGTGATTCAATCTTTCTTGTCATATCCAAACTTTAACAACCAATTTTGGTGAAGGAACTTACTAGTTTGCCCTTCCGATTCCACTTGATCTTCCAACAAGACATGCACAATGATTATTTACATGCTCATACTCCAATATTCAAAGAGAATCATTTATCCCGGTCATCATCAGCTTAAAAAATAGATGTCATGATGTGGGGTTGGCCGCATGCAGCCCGATGGGCTAGATGAAATAGGGTGTCGGTCCAGCCTTCCCTCTGGACTGGACTGGTCCAGTGTATTAAAACACGCCCTCTTCCTCCTAGAGAATACAGAAAAGAAGTACATATTAGAGGATGCAGAGATAGAGTGCCCGTTGAGGGATATAGAGACTGAAAAGTGAAAATGGACATACCAGATTTTGAGGGGAGGATGAATCAAGACGACTTCATAGAGTGGTGGCAGACCATCCAACGGGTCTTTGAATACAAGGTGCTATCAAGGAGCAAGGGCAAGAGGCTGGCCAATGGGTAAACTCCGGAATCAGGCCAACCAACTCTAATACAAGAGCTAAGGCTCTTAAAAATAAACTCAGTTTGTTATTTGTTTGATTTAATCTTTCTTGTCATATCCAAACTTTAACAACCGGTTTTGGTGAAAGAACTTATTAAATTGCCCTTCCTATTCAACTCGATCTTCCAACAAGATATGCACCATGATAATTTACATGCTCATACTCCAATATTCAAAGAAAATCATTTCTCTCGGTCATCATCAGCTTAAACAACAGATGCCATAATGCGGGGTTGGCTGCTTGCAGCCTGATGGGTAGGATGAAACAAGGCGTCAGTCAAGCCTTCCTATTTGTGTGATTCAATCTTTCTTGTCATATCCAAACTTTAACAACCAATTTTGGTGAAGGAACTTACTAGTTTGCCCTTCCGATTCCACTTGATCTTCCAACAAGACATGCACAATGATTATTTACATGCTCATACTCCAATATTCAAAGAGAATCATTTACTCCACATTCTTTCGTCATCGCTCCTAGTCATTGCAATCCCTTCCATTTTTCACCTCCTTCCTTCTTAGGATATTGTCTTTGTTGTCTCCCTTTCTTCCCAAATTTATGCATGTTATTTTCTTAAGTCTAATCAATTGTTTCTTTGTGATTTCTAGTTCCAGGTTTGCCTCTAAAGCTTTCCCTCTTCTAAGGGTTGTATCCCACGGTGAGAGGTGTTTAGGTTGTACCCCACCTGAACCTTCCATCACCGCTCCTCCACTGCTTCACCTACCGGTCCTCTCCCACCAGCTACTAGTCTCGTCGGATCCCCACAACAACCATTGGTTCGCTACCCGTCAGCCCCTGCTAATCGCCAGACCTTTAGGTTTCTCCCTGCAAACACCACACCTCCTGACGGCACCCCCCAACCAGTCGGTTCCTCCTTCAGCCTTCTCCAGTCGGTCATCCCACCATCCAAGGCCTCTC